CATTCGAAAGAGGCAGCCTGAGCCTGGGCGCTCTCAACCAACTGGCGCTGCGCAACTGCCTGAATTTATTCAGTTGTGTGATGACCCCAAAAATAGGCCTGTAGGCCGTGGGTCGAGCCTGCCTTCACTTAGGGTGGCCGACTGTACAGAAAATAGGGCCCAGTAGGGCGGATCGAGGCCTTGAGCCGGTGAAAGTGTTGTCATTTTGTGCTTTTCAAGGTTCTTTTTTCTTTGGCTGTTATTGTTTTCTCGCCTTTGTTTTTTTTTTTTTTGGCTGAGCTTTTGTCGTTTCATGCTTGCTTTGTTTTTTGGCCGAGCTGTACTTGAATTGAGGGAGCAGAGCTATTGGAATACAAATACACACCGGGGCACCTAACGTGAGGCTTCAGGCTTCAGCGGCGCCCGGTAGGGGCCGCTTGGGCAAAAGGACCCAACCCTAAGTGAAGGCCAGGCAGGCAAAATGTCGCCAGGCGTGAGGTAGTTGGAAGGAAGGCTGGACGCAGCCAACTAACTGGTAGGCGCAGCCTCAGAGTTCGTTGAAGAGGCTGAGACCCAGGTAATAGTCTGGAAGCTTGTCAGAAGGTTTCCAGATTGGTGTGAGCCCAGTACCAGCCAGGCAGCTGCAGCGTCCAGAAAGTGACAAAAAAGGAAGGGAGGCCGGAGCATTCCACATCTTTTTGGAGGCACTGGCTTCCAGCCCCAGCTGTGAAGCAAGTGTACGCGGCCCTGCCCTGAGCATTGACGAAAGAGAAGGGGAGGGGCAGCCACATACAGCTGCTCCTGCTTGCCGGAAGCCATAGCTGCTCCAGGGTTGAAGAAGGGGTGGTGGTGTTGGGGTGATCAGGGGACAAGGACAGCAGTGGGAACAGGACGTATCTTGCCATGGCCGAAGAGCACACTTGGGTTGGCAAGACAACACAGCATTGTTGAGAGAGAGAGAGAGAGAGAGAGAGAGAGAGAGAGAGAGAGAGAGAGAGAGAGAGAGAACCCTTGAGCGCCCTGAACAACTCTTCGAGCCAGAGAGAGAGAGTTAGGCTCTGCATAGTGAATATGTAGGCCGGTAGTAATGGAAGTCACATCACTGGATAAGTTGGATAACCCTTTTTTTTTTTTTTTGAACAATACAGGACCTCATGGCCCCGGCTCCTTTTCCATTCTGGGGAGCATCAGTCCGGTTCCTATTCCACCGGCAAGTCAATAGAGTAGTACATCATAATTACAAACACACGCTTCCTTCCGTTCTGCCGAAGGACCCCTGATCAGCATTGATTACTCCATCCGCATGGAGGATTGACTGTCAGCTTGCCGTGCTATGCCCTTTCCTCTCAGGTCTGTTGCACAAAACCTGCCATTTAGGGCTCAAACACCAAGAAAGGGTCTAGCCCCTTGAACAACCCCTCTGTCCCTCAACATGCCCTGAACCCCCACATTTTCTGATCATGCATATAACTCAATTCCCTTTTTCCTATCTACCCCTTGATATCTACCAATCGCCCTCTACCCTGTTTCCTCTGGTGCAGTCCAGCCCTAGCTCCGTCCATCTTGAGCAGTTGCGATCTGCCAACGATCGTTTGTTTTAAACTGTTTCAACTGGTCAAAAACCCTTAGACCCTAAAGCCCCTGAGCCGTTACCTGATGATTAAGACCCTAAAACCCTAAACCCTCCCTCATTCTTCATCGTAATAACCTTTCTCTGTTGTACCTCTTCTAGAGACAACCTGATGACTGTGAACCAAGGGTACTCTTTGCGTTCTGTCATTCCTGTTGTAAGGTGTGTAAACCTGTCCCTCGTTGATGTGGGGAAGTATCTGCTCTGTCCTGAGTCAGCAAGTGTATCAGCTCTTGTTGCCCTCTCCCTTGTCCGACCGGGATCCGTTTTGCAGCGTCCATGGCAGACCTAGGTCCCCTCCTCCCAACACCAATCTTAATCCTCCTTACCTCTCCTCTTGGCTCTCATTCCTGGTTTCTGGTATCCCTTACTCCCTTCAACTCAGCTGCCTGTCTGTTGCAGGCACAGTCTGGGTTCTCCTGCCTGTCGCTGAATTGTGCCAGTCTTTCCAGTAAATTCGGTCGCTCCGTAGCTCAGCCACCTTACCGTCCACTAACCACAGCCTGTTGAACTTTTTCCTAGTCTTTTCTCGCAGGTCCTCGTCTTCAGGCATCGTCTGCTTTAACTTCTGCCATCTGCAGAGAATTTCAGCCTGTAGCATGGTTCTCGTCTCCACCCGTACCTTCTCTCTTGGGTTGGACAACCCTTCGATGGATCTGCAGCATCTCTCTTTCCAAATGATCCATAACGTCACCTTCCTGATCAGGCGGAACCATAATCTCTCTGTTTTTTTTTTTTTTTTTTTTTTTTTTTTTTTTTTTTTTTTAAACAGAACCTCATCTTGAGCTGGTCAGGAATGTTAGTCCAGAGAAGGATTTGGATGGGATGTTCGGGGAAGGGGACATGGAAAAGGGAGTCCCAGAGGGCTGAGGCTCATGTCCAGTAATCCGTCGCCTTGCTACATTGAATTAGACAGTATACCACATCTTCTTGTGCCCCTTCTGCACACACGGAGCATAGGTCCGAGCTGGTGGGATCGTTTTTGTGACGTCGTGTATGCAGCCATTGGTTTACTGGCAGGGCAGCGTATGTGATAAGCCATTGAAGGCTTCTGATTTTAATCGGTCTGATAGTCTTAAATTTCTTCCACGGGATCTGTGCAAGTTTGTCAGCTTCCTGGCCTATTAGTTTCTTCCATCTGGCCTTGATTATAGGATCTGGGTCTTTTGTTGTAACCAGGAGTTTCTATCCGAATTTAACTGTGTAGTTCTCTATGGGGACATAAACCCTGATATTCCTTTCCTTATCCGGTGTCCAGGCCCACTCTGCCGGGTCGAATTCCAGATTATGTACTGCCGTATCTGGGCTGAAGATTAATTCAGGCCATGAGCCTAGTACCCTTACTTTCCTAAGTAAGAAGAAATCCATGACTGCCGATTCCACTTCTTTGTTTAGAATAGATGGCATGCCCTGCTTGGACGGGGAGATCGGGAAGGCGGTTAAGACGGCTTTGGTGGTTGATCCCGGTTGCATGTGTGAGAATTGGAAAGCTCGTGATGGAGGGGACTCTTGCACTTAACTCCCCATTCTCCGGATTTCCAGGGCGACGCTTCATTCAAAATATTTTTCCAGTCTTGTGGGATGCAATTAATAATATACTGGAGATTGGGCCCTCGTCTGTGACAACCCTTCAGACGCGTGTTCAACTCCTGTCGGTCACCCATTCTTTCCTTTCTTCGTTCCATAGGTGGCTTACTGTCCATACCCCGTTTTTGACCCACGATAGCCATTTGTGATCTAAATACAGAGGCATACCAAACAGCGGTTGTCTTAAAACCTCATCTCTGGATTTTGGTCTATTGGTCTTCTTTGGTAATATTTCTCTCCAGATCCGAGTCAGGGACGACCAGTATGGGGTAGGGCATCTGGCTGTGTCCAGATCAGATCCCCTTCTTGGTCTTCTCCTGCCTGTTTTCAGGTTCCATTCCTTGTTCATTATCCAAAACAGACCCGTCATATTTTCTGGTGGATCTACTGGAGCCAAAGCTCTGATGCTGTGTCTAATGCCAGTTTGTTCCACGCACTTTCTGGCTTCATCAAGAGTTTAACTATCCATTTAACTTGGAGGGCTTTTGTCTCATGTCTAGGGTCTATAATCCCTAGACCCCCTTGCTACGGCTTCCTAATGATGTATTGCCATGCAATCTTGGGGATGCACCCCTTTTTGTTGGGATTCCCTGTCCATAAATAGACCCTTGCTACGCGGTTGAGTTCCTTCATTGAGCTATCCGGTATTGTCCATATCGAGGCTATATACCACATCATAGAGAACACCGATGTGTTGAGTACCAAAGCTCAACCAATTAGTGAGGCGAATGTAACATCACTGGATAACTACTACATTTTTGTTGTATTTTTGAGAGGTGGCGAGAAGTCGGGTTTTGTTTATCGAGGGACTTCGGTGTCAGTGTGTGCTCATTTGGTGTGCTCAGGGCTTTGTAGTTTTACTTTCAACTTTGGTCATGTATGCTGGCCGTCCTTTGAGGCTTTTGCTGCTGAAAGTATGTGTTCTCATTGATGGTTCCTTGGAATCCTCGCACTTAGATTATTGCATTCATCTGATGATTTAACAGCAAAAGGGGCAGCATCTGACATTTCTCAACTCATAATGGGGTTGACCATCGTTTACATTGATATTGCGTTGGTCTCGTGTGAATGTTGTTGTCGTCTTTGAGTGCATTCTAAAATTTGGTGACCTTGTTGTCCGCTGCTGAAGTCGGAGAGTACTCTGGGCCCGGACTTGTTTCATTGTTATGCTGGAGACGTGGGAAATATCTTCATTGTTATTTCTTCGTTGATTTCAGGCTGAGAATTTTGTTGTGTTCAAATTTGGCACCACTTTGCTACCGCTGACCGGTTTGACTTTCGCCCTCGAAAGTGGAGACTTGGGAAATATCTTCGTTTTTATTTTTCTTCTTTGATTTCAGGCTGAGAATTTCGTTCTAAGGAGTATGGCAGCACGTTTTTCTCTCACTGACTGGTTTGCCTTTCCTCCCTTTTATTTTTATTTTTTTCATTTCTCGATCTATGCATTTCATCGTTCCAATTTCAACAGATGTCCTGAAGGACAAGGAGAACGTTGATTTCAGAAAAAAAATGAATACATTTCTAACTTTCTAAGTAATATGGACCTACATCCTAATGCCCGGTTGTACTAAACTGTCTGCATGGCTTTCCGGTCGGCCACATCATAACCATGGTTGAATTGCGACTTTCTTGTTGATCTGTCTTCATAGTGTTGGTTGGGTTTTGGCATGCCCCACTGAAGTGAACTGTGCTTCATTTGGTAGTTTTGGTGTTTATGTGTCTTTTAGTGTCTGGTATGCCTTATATGTCTTTTGGTATTGGGATTGCATTATGTATCTTCTCTTGGTGGCCGGTGGTTGTACAGTACATTGGAAACAAACTCCGTCCACATCAGCGTGAAGGAGTTATATTCATGTACGAGAGCATCATGGGATTGAGAGGTCACAATTTCCGAGGATGCTTGCTGGCTGATGAAATGGGCCTAGGGAAGACATTACAGGTAGGGGTCCAAAGAAGAGATGGTTTTGTAACCTGGCCCTGTACCACAATTCACACCTCTTTTCAAAATCGTTCCTCTTGGATTGCCCTAGTACGCTGGTACTCTCGATCTACGCAACCCCAATATCAAACAGCATCGACAAGATTTACTTATATATTAGCTTGTGATAAATTAAAAACAGGAAGCTCTCTCAAGTAACTGACTGGTTATGAAGAGCCGTCAGATATTGCCTCCCTCCCTGATGCAGAACAACCCCGTCATGGAGTCCAATCACTGCCTGGTCATATACAATGCCAACCACGGACGTCTTAGCATCTCATTGTAACTATTCTGTCTGTTCAGGTCTCCAAAATCCCATTGCGGCCCAGCAACATTGTTGCAGTGTGGTCAGAACCACGTAAACTCCCGTGCAACCTATACTCAGTATATGGAGCTGTTGGGGGTCTCAAGTGGAAGCCTCCCTCCGCGACCTGCTCTGTGGAGTGCCCAGGTTCAAACTAAATCTACTGCCCAGTGGTATCGTAAAAGGAAGAGGCCACGCTGCAGGCGCTGTGGCCAATGTCCATTGTCTCGCGACTCGCAACAGTAATCCGCTATGGTTTTCTCCTGTCTACAGTGTTTTAGCAGTTTCTGCTACCGTCTTCAGGACAAAGCTGTAAATCGTCCTGGCTGCACCAGTGGATAAGGACCCAGTTGATACGGGACCAAAATAGCCGAATGCATTGTGATCATAGTACATCGTCATTTGAGGAGGAAGAGTGGCTTCTAAGAGAAAGTTGACCACATTCCTCACCTCAGACAGATAACCAGGACACCAGTTGAGAGGGCAAATAAGTCCCCATAGACATGCGATGGAAACAAATAGGGAAAAAACTTCAAAAAAGAACAAAAACGGAAAACAAAATTGAAAGAACGATACTACGATAGTACTTTCAATTATTTATGACCTATTTACTGTTGGCGCCAAATAATGAGGGACAGCCGAGGGCAGTATGCCCCTGATCTGCCTCTACAGGGATCAGCTATTGGAACATTTCAGGAGCAGGAAACATGGCAAGAAGAGAAAAGGCCATGTGAAAAATGCATAGCTTCCAAGTTCTTACCCATGTGGTGCTACTCCACTTGCAGCCTTCCCTGCCGGTTATGCACTGCAAGCCCTTGGGCAAGTACGCAACATACCGTATCATGTTGATATTACTTGATAATCAAAGCCTTGGGCACTAAGAACTTGTTTTTAATTAAAAAAAAAGAAGTACGGAAGGGTGGGGAAGAGAATGTGCATATGACCTCGGAGTGTGTGTGTATGTGAAGGTCATCGGCTCCTCCATTTACTCCTTTTCCGTTTCCAAGCCTACTCTTTGCCTTCTTTTTCCTTTTTTCGAGTTTTTTAAAACCTTTTTTGTCTTTTTTGTGAAGGTCATCTCCTCTACCAGTTACTGCTTTTCCATTTCTTGGTCTACTCTTTCCTTTCATTTTTATTCTACTTTTTTTTAGTTTTTCAACTTTTTTGCTAGGCTACCAGCCGGGCCGCCTGGGTCACCTGGTTTTCCTGGGTGGCCCGGCCGTGCAAGGACCAGGGAAGTTCCCAGGAAAAAGAAAAAAAAAAAATCCAGAAAAAAAACTATGTCATGCATAAAAATAAACTGAACAACTTTTGCGTCATGACCACATCGAAATTCTTTGCCAGATGTAAAATACAAATACAATTAATTTCTTTTCTTTTCTGGCCCGGCTGGGCAAGTGATCCCGGGCCACTCTGGTAGCCAAGCTTTTTTGTCTTTTTAATAGTGTCTATGGTATGAATATTCTCGTTCTGCTGCACCCTTTTCCCTCTCCTGCCCCCACCTCTCTGACTTTCCCTGTTGTCCTTGTGATTGATATTTCAGCGGCATTGCCATGCTGATGGCGATGACACTCTTCTCTGACTTGATGTGGTGGTGGTTTTTCGTTGCCCTCCTACAAATGCATCAGTGCATGAAATTAAGACATCTGCTCCAATGTTGTGGTGCAGGTCATTGCCCTATTATGGACTGTTTTCAAACAGGTATGTCTTCCCTGCAGCTTGCGTGTTAGAACTTAGAAGTGGAAAAACTTAATTATTCCCAATAATACAGCATCACAAAGATCCGGAACTCCCCACGTCATTGGCCAGTGTTGCAATAGATCCCATGAAACCATTATCTGCGCTATCTGTTCTCAAAGCAACCACAGTTACCACACTGCTTCATGCTTGATTAGGTCATCGAGCTCGAGTGTTATTTCAACCCCTGTGGACTCCTCTCTCTAGAGTAAGTGCATTGGCAGTGTGCTGAAAGTGAGTGATTTCATTATTTCACTGTACGTGAACAACAACTGATAAATCCAATGTTCAACTGATATTAAACCAAATGCTGAACCAATGTGCAACTGTCTTCCTGCGTTCGAGCTGGAGGTCTCTGTGAAGTCAATGGGCAGTGTGCTGAAAGTGAATTGGATGATTTACTGTGCACGAGCAGCAACTGATGAATCTGACGTGCTTTGAACTCCAGGAAATAATGACATGCTCTCCTGCTTCTAGTGGCCGTGAAGCCTCTTTTGTTCTGATCCTGGCCAATTTCGAAGTACAAATTCATGAGAAAGCACAATGTCGACCAATTGCATAAAAGAAATGAATGAACGGGAGAGGAGAGAGAGGGAAAGAAGAAATTCTAAGAAAGAAGAAGAAGAAGAAAGAAGAAGAAGAAGAAAGAAGAAGAAGAAGAAGAAAGAAAGAAAGAAAGAAGAAGAAGAAGAAGATGCACACCAGCAAAGACCAATGATAATTCCCCTTCCTTTCACCAACCACCTTTTCTCCTTCCCTCTTTATCCAAACAATTAATGATGATAATAATGATGAATGGCCTTACCAGAATCAATGTCTGAATCTCTCTCCCCTGCAGGCACAACATGAGGTCCACCATAGCCATGGCCCCCCTCCTCCTCCTCCTTTACGAAGGCCGAGGCAATGGCGGACTACTAGGGCCTTGCCTTCACGTGCAAAAGACAACTCAAGGCAGCTATGGCTGCTTCCACTCAGGCCGCCATGCCTGACTCTGCCTTGAAGCTTCTTGGTGTAGCTCTACCCCAACGGGGCCTTCCAGATGCAGCGCCCACCAAGGTGAAGAAGATGGCGTCCACTATAGTCAGGTAAGTACCGTGGTGCTCCCCTTCCTAGTCCTCTTCTTCCTCCTCCAGCCCGAGCTCCTGCACCATAGCCCAGGTGGAGAGCTGGGCGCTCTTCCCCAGTGCTGGACTCGGCAGCGCTCCAATCAGCGCTCCAGCCGCGTGACTCCAAACTTGGATGCAGCAAATGAGGAGGAGCACTTCGCTCCTCCTGGAGATATAGCGGCCTAATTGCCTCTTGAGCGGCGACTTCCAGGCCGCACGGCCTCCAAGCAACCAGTACCTCCTCCCTTTCAGAGGGAAACATCATTGCAAACTCTGATATCGCTCGTACAGGCCCTAGACTCGGACTACTTGGACTGGTACCCGCCTAATGCCAACTTTTGTCTTCTTCTGCTCGGCCTCGAGTACCCGACACATCTACCGCTACTTTGTGGTACCGGCCTACCTGCTACTTGAGTGTTTTTCCCCATGGCTCTTAAGTGCCGCGGGTCTACTTCCGCCATTTGAGTTTTTTCCCCGCTGCAAACCTCAAAGTCACGGCCACAGGTAAGTACTGGTCCTTCGGGCCTCCCGAACGAACAAGTGCCCTTGCGGGTCACACACGCACTCAAGCCGACAAACATCCAGACAGGCACGCAGACCAGCAAGCACGCACGTCGCACACACAGACTTAGGAAACGCAGCAACAAGCGGGAATATCAGGAAAGCATACATGCAAAACTCAGAAATCAGCTGTGTGTCTCAGTCCGTGTTTGGCAGGTCCTTACACTTTTGTGTAAATAAGTTTTAAGGGGGGAAAAAAGTTCTATTGATATGGCAGACCTGCAGATGTGCAGATGCTTTTTGCTGGCTTGAATGAGTAGACACTTACCACACACCTCTGAAATAGTCCTCTGGATGAAATTTACTATTTTAGTGAAGGTTAGGTAGTGGCCCAGGAGTTTGGGGAGAAATTCTGGCCCATAAGCAATCAGATCTCATGCACTTCTACAAAAACAGCTGGGGCAGAGAAGGGATGGGCAATTTTCTCAGGAGTAGTGTAGTAACACTGCTCTACAAAAAGGGAGAGCAAGAGGGTGTTGGAAATTATCGACCTATCTCCTTACTTACTCTCGCCTATAAAATTCTAGCAAAAACCATAGCGCTTAGAATCCTCAACCTGACCGATAAATGTCTCTACATTAAAAAAAAATGTCTCCACATCGATCAGGTGGGTTTCTCATACTTAACGAAGCCTCGAAAAAAGCAATAGAAAAAAATTGAAAATTCAGACCGGCATTTATTTTTCGATTTTGAGAAAGCGTATGATCAAGTCAATTGGGCTTTCCTCGACGCGAGCATGAAAAGAATGGGGGTTGGCCCCGATTTCAGAGAGTGGATCAGAGTCCTCTGTACATGTGCCACGGGATGTGCTCAAAGCCTCAAAATAATGGACTTATATCGTATAGCTTCCCCTTCTCACTCAAGAGCAGTCTGACAAGACGAACCCCTAGCCCGACCAATCTTTTTGTTTGTTGTAATGGAAGCAATAGCCTCCCTTCTACGCAAAGACGTTTCAATACAGAGGCTTCCAGATTCACAATGCCGGGACTCTACATCACCTAACCTTCCCAACAGCGATCATGGTTGCCGACAACCTGATGGTATTAATCTGAGCTTCGGACTCATCTTTCAGAGCGCTGGCCACAGATTGGCCTCAGAAATAAAGGTGAACTGGAAATTAAACAATAGGGTGGTGGCTGGCAGAGGGACTGACTCCTCAAATACAAGGCCTGGTGAGCCGAATGACATGGGAAAGACGGGACATCCTTACCAGAGATCTTGGTACCCAGGTGACGGAAAACGGACCAGCCGCGGAGATGGCCCAGAGCATACTAACCAACCTAATTAACAGAATGGGCACATGGGGTCAAAGCACCTCCATTGTCTCCATGATGTGGTACATAGCGTCCATTTGGACAATACCGGACAATACCGGACAATACCCCTTCTCACCTGAAACAGAAAGCAAGAGCTTTCCTTTGGGCTGGTGACCCCAACAAAGAAAAATATATCCCCAAAATAGCCCGGCATTACATCACAGGAAAGCCATCAGCATGAGGATTAGTGTGGCATACTGCGTAGCCACACGGGCCCTGCAGGGCCCGTCCCAGACATTCAGCCTAAAAGCCTAAAACTTAGGGCTTACAGGCCCCGGTCGTTTCAGCCTGAAAGCTGAAAAACGAGGGCCTGCAGGCCCTACTCCGT